GCGATGTCTTCGGCGCCACTTGATGGTTGAATTACACCGGCCGTGTCGTCGTCGGCCCTGAGAGTGTGGTGGGGCGGCTGACCAGCGTCTACAAGATTCTGCTTCAGATCCTGATGAATGACGACGGAGAGAGCGTCGCGAAGACCATCCACATCTCCAGCGAAACGACTAATCAGTTCACTCAACAAACCGTCCTTGTCTCCTTTAAGGCTTGCCAGTATGTGCCGAACTGCGCTCTCGTCTGCAACTGGGTTAGGAAGAAAGAGGTACCATAGATAAGGAAGAATAAAAAGTGCGCAATGAGAAACTCGGCAAAGGTATGGAGAAGGACCCCACTTAAATGACGGCAGACTGTGGATCACGTCATAGGGGTTTTGATCTTGACACCCATTCGCAGGACTTCACAGACATTATGCTGCCAATAACAATCACTTGCCATGACTTCAAACCATCACGCAAACTCCTTTATTTTTTGAAGTCTACTTTTCGTTTATTTTTAGTTGCCGCGCTCGTTTCCTTTGTCGTACGAAAGCGTGCGGCGAGTTTTTCAGGCGAAATCCAAACAATTTCCGTGTTTTCCTGCATTTCGCCAGCTTACTGTCTAATGTGCTGCCCCACCCGTAAAACTCCCCTTATCACAAATCACGTATGACACGATCCGCAGTCTACCGACCGTAAAGTGGGAACCTTCTCAATACCGTTGCCAGAAACTCTTCTTGTCGTTAAAAATCAGGCTGAAATTCCATGGTAGATTTAGATTGCACCATACATTGTTGTTATGTTGAGTGCTAACTGGCTACAAAATAAACGCGACCAGAGGGGATCCCAGCGTTTGCTTCCACCGAGTTGTACTAATTTTGGTTTTTTACCAATCTGCCGGAATATGAAACTGGGCGCCTCTCATTGCATATACAGCTAATGATGTCATCATGAAATCACAGTTTGCTCAGCTCTGTCGTAAGGCCTGTAAGACCTGCGACAGTTTGCGTAGTGTGACAAAACCTACGGAACAACCACCTTTGCTGGTTGATTCCGTGCGCTGCGTGTGATTCAGCCATTGACTTGGAGACATCACAACGCCGATCGATATTCTGGTCTTTAGTGATTGGCTGAGTCCGTTCAGAACTTGGGCGCCAGCTCAACCCTAGGCTCTGACAAGCACAACGTCAACGACTGCCTTTCGACAATTGCTGTCGCTGCCATTTGAGTTAGTTGTTCTCTCCCAGCTAAAATAAAGGTCATCCTGACGATTCTGTTTTTCTGAATATTGATTTGAGAAAATCATCTTGTCAAAAAGCTCACTTATACGGGCCGCTTACAATGCATAGAATGTGGTCCTCAGCTGTGCAAAAATGTTGAAGTTCTTCAGTGCTTCTGACATGATCAAGCGTTGGCAATGCGGTGCGGCAGAATGCTACTGCTATTAGTGCTGCTACTGCTATCACTATTACGACTACTGCTAATAATAATAACAATGATATTGACGATGATCTTGATGAGAAGTGAAACAAAAACAATGATTATGATGTTTTCGGTGATGGTGGTGGTGCTGATGAAGATTATGATGGTAATGACCACTGTTGTGATGGCCAGTGGTTAGAGGTGGTGGACTTCTAACTAACAGGTCGCGAGTTCAAGCTTAAGGTGTTCCACACTTCGGGGCTGGGTATGACTGGCTGACAACGACTAATGAGTCAGAAATGGCCATTCCAGTCTCCCTTTCCTTTGTCAGCAATGACATTCTGGCTTTAGCATGCACCGCTATGCGGCTGCTGGTTGGGCTCGAGAGAGAGAGCCCATAAGGCACAACGGAACGAGTGGGTTCCGTAAGCACGATCGGTGAGCGCCGCTCTACCATTGTCATCATTATTATTATTATGACGGGAAGAAAAGGACATCATGGTGATTCTAATCACGACAATCCTAGTAGGTACCATTTTTAACTACCCTCATCATTAGTATCTTTAGCCTCGGTATCGGCACCACCTTACAACTACAACGGACACGATCACAGCTACTAAATCCTTATTTTCCTCCAAATCATCTTCATTCTCATTCTCATCATCATTCTCATCATCATCATCATCATCATCATCATCATCATCATCATCATCATCATCATAATTGTTGTTATTATTATTATTATCAGCGGCGGGGCAA